TCATCGCATCGCATCGCATCCCATGCATCCCACGGATTCCCTCCCATATGCGCACTCTAGAGAATAGGAAGCAGGACACAAACCATGGAGAGAAACCATAAAAGCTGAAAGAGGTTTGTAGAAAGCACACCGAACCAACCCCAAATAAGTCCTCGAGCAGTAATGTCCAAGCAATCCAGTGCAGGAATTGGGGGCCAAAAGCTAAAGGCTAAAAGGTCGTGTGAGCTAATAAGCTAGATTACTAGCCCACAATTGCGGAGATTGGCCTCTCAAATTGGTTCATTATTGCCATTGAATGTGTGCGAAGATGTAGTATATGGTTGGAAAGGAAGCAGGGCGAGGAACGGGTCACGGTGAGGGCTACACTCTCCAGCTCCAGAGACGGGGTAGCCGGGTCTACAAGAAGCAGAGGAGCCGGGGCACCGGGGCTCTGCTCTGTTCTTCTTCTGCTGCTGCTGCTGCTGCGCGGTGACTGGACTGTATGTATGGACATTAATAATTGATCGCGTCTCTCGCCGTTCAGAATGGAAAGAGCGCAGCATATTAAATATTACAGTAATTGATAATATGGGCGTGTACACAGAGAAGACTTGAAGTTGGTATTTGACGAGCAGTAAATGAGGTGGTGCGCTGAGCCATGAGCCAGCAGGCCAGCCAGCCAGCCAGCCACAGTGAGTGAGTGATGAGTCCACACGAGCTGAGGGCAGTGCAGTGCAGTGCAGGGCCCTCTCTCTCTTCAATCCTCGTTGCTATCTCCAAGGCAAAAGGACTCGGCCAAGAAGCCAGGCAGCCAGAGCACTCATTCTGATGAGCCATTTGATGAACAATCGGCCCCCCTTCTTTCTTCCTCCGATTAATTACCCCCGGGTACAGTAGTCGTCGACTGGCTCCCTCCTTCCAGCGCCCCATCCCCCGTCGTGTGTTTATTAGCCCCGGTTAAAAGTGCTTCCTGCCGCCTGGCCGCTTTGACTCGACTTCTTTTCCCACCCCTACCTATTCCCCTTACCCTTGCCCCTGCCCCTGGCCCCCTCGGCTCCTCGAGTCCTCGAGTCCTCGACTTCGGACCCCTTGCCATGTACCTACTGTTGTACCACTACGACACTACTGTTGCGTACCACAAACTGGGGCCCCTGACTACCACTACTACGGTACAACAACATCAATTCCAGTCAATCCAATCCTATCCGGTACTACTCCTGCCGCCTGCTCGGCTCTGCTGCTATACTATAACTACGGTGCTCAGCTACTACTCGAGTGCAGCGACGAGAGAAAAGTCCTCATTCGGAGCGGCGGTTGCCGGGCCGGGCAGGGGCAGCGCAGGGGGGCCGCAATTTCACAAGGGTGGGCTAGCCGCAGCCCTTGCCCCGGTCGGGTGCTAGCGCTGGGGGGGTGGGGGAGGGGGGAGGGGGGCGGGGGCTCTAAGCCCAGTCCCCTGCGATGTGGGCCCGGGGTTATATAATTTAGACAGGCCCTGCTCCCCACCTCGTCCCTACCCGGCGGGCAAGTACCTGCGCACCACCACCCAATTATTGGCAAATCATGCTACTTAGAGCCACGGCCGCTAATTTTAGCAGCCCTCCACATTCGACCCGTCGCGTGGTGGTGGTGGAGGTGGTGCTACTACTCCGGCTAAAATCTTACCGCTCCGGGGTTGGGGTAACTGCAAGTTGCACGCCGTCGGCCATTGGGCTTGCGCCACTCGTCGAGCCGCAAGCCCTCCCTCCGTCCTGACGCGTATCCATCGGGGCCTTCCCGTCCGACGCGACGCGTACGCCAATTCTAGCAAATCCTGCATCGTCGCAATTCTCGGACGCCGGAAGATGATTGCCGACGCGGAGGCACGATGGCGGGCGGCTGGCATACCCCTCGATGCGCAAGGCCCTCGTTGCCATCGAAAGCTTGCCTGCTCGACTGCGACTTCGCCCTCGGCCTCGCCTCTGCAGCACCACGGACATGCACTGCATTACCCCCCACTTCGGGCAGCCCACTCCAAGCGTACGAGGCCTTCCCCCCCTTCCCAAGATCACCGAGCCGCCCAGATTTTCTGCTGCTGGTCCGTTACCGCTTTCCTCTCACATCGAACTTACCGGGAACATAGTTACTTCCTCCCCCGCGAGCTGTGGGTAGAACTAGATTCCGTAGACGCGATGGTAGACAATAACGTCTGAAACACTACCGGCAGCTTATCAGCGACATAAGTCATATTGAAACTATCGTTGTGATTTTGCGCGCATGTGATTCGCCATGTTCTATTAATCGAATCCTTGAAGAAAAGAAAACTTGCAGCAGACGAAATATCCTACGCGCAGGTGTTCCCCAAACGTAAGAGGTAGAAGAGATCCACTTCAAGCAACGAATTTCAGACGAGGTTGCCTCGTATGCAGTCAATATGAGGTTTGCGAGTGAAATGAGAAACCATTCCAGGAGAAATTCTACAACGTTTGGTGGACGAGGCTTTAGAAAGTATCTCTTATATTAATATACAGCAACGACTTGTCGACCGAATATTTCCGTGAAATAGACACAAGTGTTTGCTTTACATTTGGATTGGATGTCTATATGACAGGCGATGTTATGTGCTTATAGAAGACCCTCCAAACACTAATATAACGGGAAAATAAAACATGGCGCGGTGATGGAAACATCTGATATTTCACGAGCATGGGTCGCGAGAGATCCGTAGTCGTGGAAGAAGTGGAAGAGGATGTGAAAATGGATCGAGAGGCGTCGTCCTGTGCTGGGCATGCACGCAGCCGTAACGGCCGTGTAGACGCGAGCAGCAACAATGGACGAGCGAGAGAGAAAGAATGGCGGCAGGAGGAGACGATGTCCGGCCACCGGCGACTGGGTGCGTGGCCAGATCACAGTCAGGGAGCAAAGACACACTGACAGGAAATCCTCGGGGCAGTGAGTGAGTCAGTCGGTCAGGAATGTATGTAGGAAAAGAGGGCCTCGTCTCCCCGAGTGCAGGAGGAGAGCCGAGGACGAGAGAACAGAAAAAGGGAACGAACGAAAGAAGGGGCGATCACAATGTTGGTGCGACCCGAAATCACGCCATGCGGGGGTCGTCGATGGGGCGCATCCGACAGCGGTCGGCTGCCGACTCGAGCCCCAGCTTGAAATGAGCTGGCCAGCGCATTTCCTGCGAGAGACGAACAATCATCGGCCACGTAGAACGTGCCCTGGACCTGAGGCCGAGCCCCCGGTCTGGGCCACCGCCACGTGTGCGTCGCCGCGTGCCCCTTCTGTGACGTCATTGGCTACGAAGCGATGGCTCCTTGCGGTTTGCCCGTCGCCCCGGAGCCCCACCTCGAGGCATCCATCGCCAATTTGGCCCGGATCCGTTAGCGCAGTCCGGTCTGCTGGGTGGCTGGGGGCTGCCATTGGTGCTAATCCTGACGGGAACCCGAGCCCGGGGCCTGAGCCGAGTTCGGGCTCGCGTCGTCGGCGTCGGGGTGGAGTTGGGCCGTGGAGCTATATGAACTTAGGACCACCTGCGTCAATTTCGTGATACGCGCCTGCCCGGGGCTGGGGCTGGGGCAAAGACCGAAGAAGGCCCCGGCGGGCGGGGGTTAAAAAAGAGCAGAGCGCAGCGCAGCGGGCCTCATCGATGGCTAATAAGCCCAGAGGTTGCGGCCGTGCAATAACGCGGGGGCTGGGCGACCAGTTCCACCCGACGAAACCACGCGGCAGTCCCCATATCACTGCGTCGATCCGGACGTGCCCTGTACAGAAGCTCGCCCGCTCGCTCGCTCGGTCGGGTCCGGTCCGGTCCGGTCCGGGCCTCTGAATAACGGATGGATGGCCAGCCGAGGGGTAGTCGTTGCCATGCACGCAGGCATGCGTATGATGGATGCGCTGTGGGGTAGTCGAGTGGGGAAGCGGAGGGGGAAGGGGAAGGGGGCTGCTGCAGCTGCGGCAGCAGCCCCCTGCTCGGTTGGTATGCGAGGGGCGGGGCTGCCGGAAACCACGCGGCAGAGCGGGGTAAGAAGGCGGGGGCTATTATCGCGTAATAAGTAACAAATGAGCGAGCGAGCGATTCCAACAAGTCAAAGAGGGCCATAAAATATGAGCAATCTGGGCATCGTGGGCGCCACAGTGGCTGCTGGGCGCATTGCGGGCCGGGCCGGGGCTGCGCGCGCCGGGTGGTGGATTCTTTGTCTGCTTGTCGATATGACAGACATGACTGGCGGATATTTTATCTGGAGGCCGGATGTTTCCTAACCAGGGGTGGGGGGTGGGGGCGCTGCGTGTATAATTAAATTTTTTTGTAGCTCGCATCCTCGGACTTTTAGATGTTGACTGCCTCCGTTCTGCTGCAATTCGCTGGCCCTCGCTTGTTCGCTCGATCGCTTGCTTGTTCGCTGGCTTGCTTGCTTCAGCAGCTGCTGCTGCTCCTCCAGCAAGTCTTTCCACACACTCACATACACGCAGGCACTCAGTCCCTCGCTCCCTCCTGGCTCGCACCTTTTGAACCCATGTAGTTCCGATCGTCCTGCAGATACAGATACAGGCCAGGACAGAGGGAGACGAAAGTAAAAAGTCCTTAAGTGAGTGAGTGAGGGAGTGAGTGAGGATTGGAAGAGAGGTGGGCGAGCTTAGAGAGCTGAGATCTGAGTGAGGTGGTGGTGGTGGTGGTGGTGGAGACGAGTAGAAAGTTGGTCTTCGTGTGAACCAAGGGAGCGAGGGAGAGGTGAGGGTGAGAGAGGGAGAGAGGGGAGGGAGAGGGGGGCCCAGTAGAGTGAAGAGCCGAGAGAGTGGAGTGGGAGCAGCAGCGCAACGAGCGGTGGGGTGTGTGCACCACAGACACTGTTGCGAGCAGTGGAGCTTGGCAAGCACGCACGCAGCTCGCAATGTGCAGCATACCATCCGTTGCTGTTGCTTAATTTTTTGCCCCTTTTCATCCCATCCCATTCCTCCCCATTCCATCCCCCTTCCCTTCCCTTTTCCTTCCCTTTCCTCCTCCTCCTCCTCTTCTTCTGCTGCCACTGCTGCTCCTCTCCTCCTTCTTCTTCTTCTTCTTCCTCCTCTCCTTCTTCTTCTGGTGCTGCTGCTTCTCCATCTGCCCTCGCTTGCTTACCTTCGCTTATACCCCTGGCGCTGCTGCTGCTGCTGCTTCTGTGTTGGGCGGGCAGGCAGGCAGAGGCAGGCACGAAACAGTAGCGCCGTTTGGCATACTGCCTTCCACGCCAATCTGAGTCTGAGTTGACATCGGGTTAAGTTTGCGAGCGTAGAGCGCACGTTGTTTGAGGAAGTGCAGCGAGCGAGAGGGAGAGGGAGAGGGAGGGGAGGGGAGGGGAGGGGAAGGGGAGAGGGATCTGCGAGAGACAGATAGGGAAGTCGTGGTTTCTGGTGTGTGCTTGCGTGCTGCTGCTGTGAGTTGAGCGCGGCTGCAACCACACAAGGCAGGCAGGCGGGCGGGCGGGCAGTCAGTGAGGCAGGCAGGCAGGCAGGCCAAAGCTTGCGAGAGAGAGAGAGAGAGAGAGAGAGTGTGTGAGCGAGCGAGCGAGTTGTGGTTCGTGCGAGGGGGGATTTCGGGACAGACAGACCAGCTGCTGCTCGAGTGAAGCAGCCTGGAATTTAGGTTGGCCGAGGGGAGGGGGCCGAACGCAGAGCGGCGGCGTCGGGCCCGGAGGCACGATAGTATTATTGTGCTGTAGGCTGGTAGGCTGTTTTTAGAAAGGGGGGTTTATTTGTGCTCGGCAGAGTTGCGCGAGAAAAAATTAGTGCAGAAGTGTGGACCTTCGGGGGCCGTGGTCTGCCATATCCTGGGCGCAGCTCAATTGGGTGTGGTTCTTCTCAGGTTTGTGCGATTGCCGAGCGAACCTGATTAGACTCAGGACGGGCTCCTGTCTCGCGCACGCGCACGCATTGAACATTATGGACAGGCCTTGCGCGCTCGAGCCTCGGAGCCTGGCGCTGACCTCCGGCGCGCAGTCTCGATGATGGTGAGCCAGGGCTGGACTTCGAGGAATTGCGTCTCGCGCCTGTAGACGGAATTGCAGCTCGGTCGGGCTCGTCTCCGTGTCGTGTGTGTGTTCCAGGGTAGGATTATGAGATTTGCGCCCATCGAAGACTCAGACACACTTCGGCCAATTGGTTGCGGAGTATGAGTAGGTGAGTGTTTCGCGCTGCGAGCGCCCCCGTGCCGTACCCGAGTGCCATGCCATGAGATGACATGAGCCCGCCATGTTTTGAAAAGCTCGCCCCCACCCTCTCTCCCCTTCTCCATCTCCATCTCCATCTCCATCTCTCGTCCGGCCAGCGTTGACAAAGCGATTTTCTCGTTCCATGTAGGTTTGTGGACGCCGATGTAGAAATCTAGTCAACAGACCTCCACCTGTTTTGGCTTTCGGATCTGTAGAGGTTAGTGGACATCCGTGTGCTTGAGAAATTCCATGTTTTTGCCAAGGCCCGAGCGAAGCTCGCGGAGTCTATCTAGTAGGTCGCAGGATCATGATCATGTGTGTTGTGGAATTTGAACGCGGGGCTTGCATCTGAACCCCGGAGCTGCGTGGTGGACCGTGAGCAGGTATGGCATCGTCATCAAGCTCGCCGTGTGCTGCCTGTAAGTTTCTCAGAAGGAAGTGTACAGCGGAGTGCGTGTTCGCGCCGTATTTTCCACCGGATCAACCCCATAAATTTGCGAATGTACACAAGATTTTCGGTGCGAGTAATATCACTAAGCTTCTGAACGAGCTGCCCGTACAACAACGAGAGGACGCGGTGAATTCGCTGGCGTACGAGGCGGATGCCAGGGTCAAGGATCCGGTCTATGGATGCGTGGGAGCGATCTCGGTGCTCCAACGACAAGTTGCGCAGTTGCAGCAAGAATTAGCTATCGCGCATTCAGATCTCGCCAGATATGCCGGGGCAGGAATGGTAGGGGGCCCAGGTAGCGTGACGCAGGGAATGCCCTCCTCGTCGCTCGGAATTGGCATGGGTTTATCGCCTGCGCCGTCGCGCGAGCAGCAGCAGCAGATGCTGACCCGAGAGCAGCTGCTGGACCTGGCCCGCGAGCCGCAACTCTCGCGCGAGCAGCTGCTGGAGCTGGCTAGGGTTGGCGGAGGATCTTACGAGGCCGGCCTCGCAGCGCTGGGCCTCACGGGAGCGCTAGGACCGCTCGGACCCTTTCCTTCCCGTCAAGGGAGCGATGGCAGCGGAAGCGGTGGCGGCATGGGAGGGCACTTATCTCCTCCATAATGCACTATCGGTACGGTGTCTCTCGTCGTCCGCCCCTCTCCTCCGCCACTTCCATTCCATTCCATTCCATTCCAGGTCCCCGTCAAGCTAGATCTCCTTGACTAGAATTTCCCCCCCTGAGCAGCCGCAGCCGCAGCCACATTCTGGAATTTTGACCACCTCACTGAACTGCACTGCACTGGGGCCATCTTCTTCGTGTTCGTGCTCTTTCAGCCAGTGGGTAGCCAGTGTTTCAGTCGACGGATCAATCAATCAATCGATCAATCGATCAATCAGTCAATCAGTCAATCAGTGGAGCAACCAATCCATCAATCGATCAATCGATCAATCAATCAATCAGAGCATTCTTCTTGCAATCTGGAGCTAGTTCATTGTGTATGTGAAGATGGCCGTGACGGCGGGCGCTGATGCGCCATGTGTGTGCTTGTGGTGATCGCAGGCTTCGGTGTCTGTAGAGAGAATGACATGAGTTACAGCGCAGCGTGGCTCGTATCTGGACACGACACTGGAGCCTAGACTCGATGGGGGCACCGGGCGGGGGGGGGGCTCCCTGCGATGGCGAGGCACCGGAACCGGCTCGAAATGCGCCCGAGCGAGCAGAGCGAGACACCCTGCAGGTGCCCCAGGAATGCCGTCTTCAGAGCAGGAGGCGGACGGACCATCTTTCGCTTTCTAAGGTGCTCCTTCTCCACGCGAGAAGCCATTAAAAACCCAAAAAAAGGCAAAAAAAATTCTGACAAAGATCAGAAAGATTACAGAGGGGGAGGGGGATGGTTTTTCTAGTTAGTTTGTGAGGAGTGGGTAACGAGGGGCTCGATGCGGCTCGGCTCCCCAGCATCATCCCCTCTGCAGATCTGTGCAATGCTACCGACGACTCGACTCGACTCGACTCGACGTGTTTCCTCGACCCAATCCGCTTCCTCCCACGCCCCTCGTCCGACCAACGAACGAACGAGCGCGCGCGCTCTCTTTCTCTCTCCCTCTCTCCCTCTCCCTCTCCCTCCCTCTCTCTTTCTCGATCGCACGAGGGGGATTGCTTGCTTGCGTCCCTGCGTGCCAATTTCCAGCTCTCACTTCGAATTCATACGGGCACGCGGCAAAATGTGCGCCAGCAATTCCCACTCCCGGAGGCGCCCCGTCGCGCATCTCGAGCCTGGACCGAGCGGCGGGAAGAGCAAGCAAGCAGGCAGGCAGGCAGGCAGGAAAGCTGGCCTCAGGGCCATCCATCCATCCATCCATTTATTCATTCATTCTCGCTCGCTCGCCCGTGCGTGCGTGCGGCGCAGTGCACAATGTTACGATGCGGACCCGCGTTGCTGCTGCTGCTGCTGCTGCTGCTGCTGGCGATCGGCGTCGCCGCTGGGAGTGTGTGACAGTGAGAGAGGGAGAGAGAGGGAGAGGGAGAGGGAGAGAGGGAGAGGAAGAGAGAGAGAGAGAGAGAGATTGTGTGGGTGTCCGTCGAGCCGGCGAATGCGCCGTCGGCGTCGGCGGATGCAGACGCAGACATGAGAGGTGCAGTGTGCCGAACACGGAGGATCGTCGGAAGAATGTGGCGGGGGAGGGGGGCAATGCAGTGGTGGAGGCATCGAGGTGATCATCTCTGCTCGTTGCGTGGCTAGGAGGTCGTCTGCTCTTTGTGCTTGTAGGTAACATCAGGCCGTGTCTAGTGTATTTACTCGGGGCTAGGCGGTGCAAAATTCAGCGAAGGACGTGAGTATTGATCGGGGACCCTGGGTTGTAAATGTGACTCCCACTTATCCCAGAATGAGAATGAGAGAGGCGATACTAGAGTAGTAAGAAGGATAGTTGCTTGTGTAGGTGGACGGATTTTTGGAAGATTGAATATTGAGCGGGGCATTCCTACCTGTCATAAGTACGAAGCACGCAGCGGGCCGCAATGAGCACGGGCTGCTGCCGACACTGGTGAGCTTTCTAGGTAGAAATCTTTTTGGATGGACTCTCTTCTCGTCTCTGCCCTGCCACTATGCTTGTCACGTCATGGTCCTGCTGCGCTCGGAGGGTGCCCAACTCAGATCGACCCCCCGTTGTGTGCTGAATCCTGCACCGAGAGGTGGTCTCATCCCGGCCCTCCGCTGCGCCCAGTGCGTCCCTCCTCCTCCTCGGCACGGACCACTCCGCCACCATGCGATTGCTGGCAGCAGTTACAGATACAGTAATCTGATTTATATTCTTTTATTTGGAGCTTCTTACCTTCAATTGTTCAAAATAAAGATGAAAGGAGGAAAGGTATGCAGTCGATGAGAGTACCTCTACGTTCTAGGTTCGATCTTGGCGTATCGGGTAGTATCACATCCCATAGAACTGTCCTACACGCTTACCGCGTTATTGGTCACACCTGTCCAGGAGCTATGAGTACTTTTACCTTAGGATCATATTGGGGAGGTGTTAGATAGAGATTCCGTAGTTTGTGCAGCAATGTTGATCTATTTTGCCAACACATGTCAAACAGGTTATGATGTAGAATTAGTCATCAGTCAGAAACTTCATATCCGCAATTCATGCGCTATGTCCTGCATTGAGGTGGAGATATCGGCTAGGGCAATTTTCCCTGGCAGAAATTGTTTTATCAATGTCTCGTTGACGCACGCCCTGTCCGAGTAATCTGCATCGTTCCATGTTTGTCTTCTCTCTTCTCTTCCGGCCCTCCTTGCCCCGACTCTTGCACCTTCCCCAGCCTCGATGAGAGAGAGCAAAAAAGAGAAAGAGGCTTGCTTGTCTGCCAGGTTCTAATTGGATTGAAACCACAGCTTGGCCTCTAGAACCGTACCGAATCGAGCTCTGGAAAATGCAGGTAGAAAGGTGGTGTACTCACCATGCAGAACAATGGAGAGAGACCCCGCAGTGCACCACCGAGGTAAGCAAGATGAACACAAACGGTTACTCTGCTACGCGTCGTTTCCCGTGCTGGCCCTGGCTCTAATTACGTGTCTTGGTTTGGTTTGGGTCCAGTTGAAGCCTCGTCCCGTCCCTTCCCTTCCCTTCCCTTCCCTTCCCTCCGACCCCAGTCCCCGTCGATGTCTCGAGCACTCCTGGATTGTCCCACTTCGATCGATCCTTCTGCCGCAGTCAGTCACTCGGAATGCCCCAGGGCGAGAGCATCATGATGTGGTGAGCGGCGTTCGTTCGCAGATGGGATGGATGTTCACCGAGGTGCCCTCGAGCGGGTCCATATCATTTTCTCCATCCACGGATCTGCTTTGTACGAGAGAGCCAGGAACGATTTGATGGTGTTCTAGATTTTATTCTTCTGTCAAAGTGTTCGTTGGGAGATGTGAAGGCAGACAGCGTCTCCTCATTGATATCCTTGAGCCTACATATGCTGAATGCACTTGCTCTGTCAGACTTGTGGTCCGTCATTACTTATTGCATGCAACTGGTTTCCCAAGATATGAGATTTCGAGCCCATTCATCGTCAGTCGTCTCCTGCCTGCCTGCCTGCCTGCCTGCCTCCCTCCCTCCCTCCCCGTCCGGTCCCCTCCACGCACAGACACTTCTCCCCTCATCCTGACCCACTGACAACGATTAGTTTGCAAACAGGACAATGCCCGAGTTCTAATTCGTCTCATCAGAACTCGCGAGCTCAATCGCCTCCCAAGCTTTCAGACATGACCAATCTTCTCCCTCGCCTGGTTTCCTGTGTCAACGTAACGACTGTATCCGTCCAGCTTGCGTCGGCTCTTTGCCATCCCCGCAAAGCCCTTTGGTTTTGTAATCGACGATGTTTGGCTCTTCGGCCTGCATCGTCCACAGACAAGCCCCGTCTTCGTCTGAGACGAAGCTCAAGCCCAAGCCCAAGCCCGAGTTCGAGTTCTGCCAAGCCATGCCATGCCAAGCCAAGCCAAGCCCGAGCCCATTTGTCATGCTACGAACTTATCATGAAGAAGTCGGTAGAATCTTAGCTCACTGACTGAGCTAGCAATTCGAGTAGTGACATCAGTCGCTCATTCATCAACCGCCGAGCTTGTCCTCATCCCTCCGCCTCCCATCACTGCAGTCTCACTCCTGCCCCTCTCGGTCAAACCTACTGTACTTCACTCGCCCTTCCTCTCATTCATCTCTCTCTCCCCTCCCTCCTCACTCCCATCCACATCTCCATCAATCAATTAGCGACATGGGCCACAATTAGAAGCTCAGTAATCTCACGTCGTAATCAGAGTCTCGGGTGCTCCACAACGTAATCCCCACCTGCTTCGTTTCTCCACGGTATCAGCATCTCGTTCAACCCTGTAATTGTTAAACATGGGCCCGATGTATGAAAACTGGCTTCTTAACTTATTTGGGACCGGGCATTTTTTTTTCCTTCGTGTTATTGGTACCAGACGTAAAGCCAAACCTCTCATCGAAAGGTGATGTCTGGTACCTACAGACCACAGACCACAGTGATTGGTCCTTGTAGAGAATGTTACTGCCCTGATAGTTTGAGGTTAATCCTAAAATGTGAAGCAATGATACGTTCTATCATCAATGAAAACGTAACAATTATTGCTGCTGGTTTCAATAGTTCCAAGGGGGTCTCGGTGTACCAGCAGCTGGAAGGACACCCAAGTACTCCTTGTCATCATGTACCTCCCCCCCATCCTTCCAAGTGTGTGGATTAAGGTACATTCAACTCTTACTTTGGGCAACGGTGTAAGTCGGAGGAGGCAATACTATTAGTTACTGTACTCGACATCAACCTTTGCTATATGCAGTTTGGGCTGATGGATGCAAATGGTGTACCGACTCACATGGATCGTGATTCAGTTCAGAAAGTGAAAGTCGACACACCTTTGCGGGTTTCTTGTATGGAAATGCACCATGGACCATCCCTCGTGACGGAGTGCCCGCAAGGCCCCCAGATGATGAGCTCCTTGTCACTTTACTCGTGTCGGTACAAAAGATCCAGCTTTTCCGTCTGCTGGCAATCAATGCAACGGTTCGGTGAATATACGCTCGTCGTCACTACTTCACATTCCAGTTCCCCTCGGCAAGCGACGGGCGCACACCAATGAGCTCATTCATCACATCCATCACGCTTACCTGTTGCTGTTTAAATATGCACCATTTATGACAGCGACTGTGTTTTGATGTCTTCGAGAAACTGGACATGCTCTTACACGCTGTTCTTGATGAACCATATGTACTGAAGCTCTTCATCTGACAGGTCGAGGCTTCCCATCTTACGCATGGTTTCAATGGTTGGTTTCAACGTCGGTGGCATCGTTCGAGTTCCCATTAACTCTGGTGGGATCCGGTAACCTCAATCCTCTTCTCGAACCCGCTCCCGCCGCAGCAGTCTCGATCCCACGAAATGTTCTCTCTCTGATGCTCGGGAATGATAATCCGCAAGTAACCCCACATTATTTTCGGCATCTAATTAAGTACAGTAATGTTCCTTTGCACAAGTTTCTACATAACGATATGCAGTACATATTTATCCTTGGCCTCTTTGGCAGAGCATCTCGGCACAGGCACAGTGAGCTGCTCGACAGTTCACCGTATTCTCACGTCAATCATAGGTGCTCGAGTTAAGCTACATTTCTCGTGCGATGATGCCATGTCGGAACTGGAAACTACTCCTTCAATTTGCAACGTGAATGTGAGATCAAATGCCACCTTCGCTAATCTTTCCATCAAACTCCACGTGATGAGCACGCACATCTGCTTTCCTTACTATCTTTGAACGAGGTGTGCATGTGCAGACGATTTACAAAGGCCGATAAACTTGCGAAAGTCAAAACACCCAAATTTGCGCCGAAGACAAGTGTTTTGCTCCATTCATAGTCAAACTACTAATTTATGTTTATCACGTGCTTTGGAAGATAAACAAAGCTTGACGAAACCCACAAATATAACATCGAGGATCGAACACTCGTTCGTTCCAAAGCTTTTGGAGTCGAACCACATGGCTGCGAACATGAGCTCGTTCGGCAGTTGATGGAGAATGTGGTGGATAAGGCGGAAAAAGAAGAGGACATGAAGGCCACAAGGTTATCTCCCTCAGAGATTTCGAAGATCTGAGTAGAGATGAGAAATCCCAAATTAGACAATGAGCCACTTTGAGCCATATGGGGTCCTCAAAGACACAACTATAAAGAGTGTAAGAAATCACATGGTCGGCCATATTTCTGATCATGATACAGCAAACAAGTTCGATAAATTTGCATTCATTAAAGCCCTACGATCATCACACATGCATCTCCATATTTGCAAATTTTGCAGAGTTTAAAGCCAAAATGTTGCAGTTAATCATTATTGTTCTTAGTTTTCACATCAGAAGAAAATTGTATTAATATCATAATAGAAATCCAAAAATATTATTTATATGGTTGATCTTTCCTCCAGGGATTATTCTAACAAAGATAAAAAGAAATTCGTTGTGAAGAGGAGATCACTTTCAAACGACGTAATCATATCCCAACTTGAAAACCATTTTTTTCGTTTACAAATAAAAGTTTCAAAAGAAAATATATTAATTGAGCTTAATATTGAAATAAAACAAAGAAACATTGAAAAACTAAACTTAAAAGTTTCGTGCATGTTAATAATTAGTCAAAATTTCTTCCAAAAGAAAAATAAGCATAATAACAATCAACAATACAATCTTACTAAAAGAAATCGGAAATAATGAAAATAATAACCCTACCATGTTTTATCATTGAAAGAAATGGATATAAATATACATTTTATAATAATATATAAAAAAATTAAAAAAATTTAAGAATAGAATTTTAAAATTTCTTTACAAACAATCATCTAAATATCAAGATGCATATAAAACAATAATAGTGAAACCATGTCTTTTCTAAATATTTCATTGATTCAGATAATATAGAAAAAAACATCGTTTAAATGTGAGGATAGGAATATCTGTTGAATTTTTTTTAATCAAATACTATCAATCGTGTCTAGTAATATGAAACATTTATAAAATTGCTAATATAAAACAAATTGTATATATCAATGAGAAAATTTGAAGAATAGAGAAATGTTTAAATTAAAAGTTATTTATCAGAATATAAATATTTTTCAATTAAAAACTCCAAGATTTAAACATATAAGAAAACTTCAAGTTAACAATTTTTAAACCTACATTGATCATCTGTAATTTTGAACTTTTGAATTTTTTTTCAAAAAAAAATTGATATTTCAAAATTTACTAGCAAAAAATTGATCAACTTACTTTTCATACTAATTCTTTTTAAATTGCGACCACGTAAAAAATTGAACTTAAACTAATTCATGTGTGATACAATGATAGAATATGTAAACAATTTTATTTCTTTTAAAAAAATATTATTAATATTGTGCAAAAGACGAAATTACAAATTAACTGATATTTGATAACACTAGATACGCGATGCATACTTTAAGAAAAACTCACATTCATAGACATTTAATCCAGCAATCCGCTTGACTTCATTATAGAAATTATTTCATCGATTTAGATTATAAAATTAAGATTATATTTTATAAATAAATACTGGAAATTTCTTTGACATATTTGAAATATCAATAAAAAATGAGAATAATAAGTAATATCTGGAGGTAATTATGTCAAATGAAATTTTACAACAAAAAAAATACTCAAATTTTTCATTGTAATCATAAAAACAAGGGCAATCAAATAAAATTTCTTTTATAAATTTTTCTGAGAATGAGATGTTAGCTATTGCTTTACAATATTTTTATAATTGTACATAGTTAAAATTTTTGAATTTTAAATGGATAAAATTTAGTCCTTAGAATTTATATAAATTATATAAATTTATAGAATTAATATTCAAATACTATAAATTATGGTTGCAAGATTTCATTTTACAAATAATACTATTTTTTGAGATAAAAAAATATTTAAAATATTATAATAGAAAAAAAAATTCCAAACATTTATATGATGATTTAAGAATTTAAATTTGATTAAAAAAATTTTAAAATAAAAAATAATAGTTAAGAAAATTCAATCAGATTTCAATAAATAAAAAATTTTAAGAAAAAATTCATGAATTTTATTAATATTTATAAAATTAAATGGTTTTAATTCGCATGTTCAATTCTAATCAATATGAGTCGATATGTTTAAGTTATAGAGTAAGTATCTTATTTCATGAATTGATTTTATGTCTATCAATGAAATATTGATATTTTATTGCATCTTGCATAAGTTTGCTGAAATTTGTTGTTGGTAAAGTTTCATTAATATCCAAATTATTCTATTTTATCAGCACAAATGTTATAAAATATGCTTAAATTTTTTATAACATTTGTGCGTTATATTTATGATTTTTGAATGTTTTTTTTTTCACTATTATTAAATTTTTAAACTCATCAAGCAAATATACTTGGCAAACTTTAAACTCCAAAGCTTCAAAAGTATCAACTTTTACTTACTAATGGAGCTTTTTTTTATTTCAAAATTCAAAATAACTTTTTCAAGAATTTTCTGTTTTTTTTTTAATATTCCAACACATTAGTAATTTGAAAAAAATCTTCTTGAACTTTTTGTAATAACATATCTGTGATGTTGCAAGCCTTTATTAACTTAAAAAATATTAAAGTTCTTTTATAGCTTTCAACATATTTTTTTAGCTTTCGATCAGGAATTTTTTAGTTGAATAGGAATATTTGTTTGTTCATTATGTAAAAAACGTAGTCGAAATAAAATGATGGTCAATTTTCTTTTAATTCACATGCGAATTTTAATATACATGTATATGACCCTAATTACCCTTTTTATACCCAAACTACAACTATTTTGAAACTTTAATTAACTTGCTACATCAAAAGCATCATGCAATCTATTTTGGAAGCATGGTAAGTTGCGATTATAATTCAATGGAAAAAAAGCTCATGATCAATTTCTTGATTTAACGTATTTTTATCAATATAATTTAGACGTAAAAAGCGTATTGGTGTTATTCATTTTGGTTATGTTATTTATCGAGTATTTATTTTTTAAAGATTTGGCTTATTATTATATAAAAAAAATTCGAAAGTCATCTCTTTGATCAAGAATAAATAAAATTCCCTATTTTATGAAATAAACATCTAGCTACTTGGCCGGCACCAACCAATTTTTTTATATATATTTGGGCAAGTAGAATTGCAAGCTGTTTTTTATTATAGCTTTGGAATTATGAAGAATTGTTAATGAAGAATAAGCTTGATATAGTGAAAAGAAATTATCATGCCAACAAACAAAGGCTATCGCTCTTTTCGCATATTTCCTATTTAAAAGGTACATGGGCCTAGCCCCGTCTGATCCCTTTGGTTTCCTCTATCGACAAAGGATGAGATGTTCCCATCCCTTTTTCTATATTATTTGGTTACCTTAAGTTGCGAGCTGTTGACTTGCCGATTCCAAGTGCTATGGGGATGAGGAAGGCGACATCGCATGCAAAACGACGTCTGAGTGTCGTCTATTGTGCCCACATACATGTATCTGAGAGATTCAAGGAGCCCGAAGAAGAGAATTGATTGCCCACGATGAGTGAGTGCAAATGCTTGGATGGTCAGTGTCTTTGATTCCAGTTTCGAGTCAAGTCATCACTTTGTTCCAAAACCTGCATGTGCAATGGTAGAGTAGATTCCAGTGTCCCCACTTAAAGGCAACATTTAGTAAGTGCTAGAAGGCAACACGGTGATTCACAGATGCTATTAGTAAGCAAACGAACTAGTGACCAGGAACTCGAAAGCACTTGCAAGAATCAAAACCTTCTTATGAGTGTGGATGCACGATGCGAGTGTTCGCATGTCCCAGAATGGGTCATGTGACATCAATGCAATCTGATTGCACTACATATGCGCAGGAGGGAGTAAGAGTGAAGGTTTTCAAGTGATTACGTGTATTTATGAGGACAGGACTGATTGGGTTTCTCATTCATGCATTACGACAAAGAATGTCAGACTTTGCATCCTAAATTGATTGGAATTTGTGATGGGCAAAAGGAGAGAAATATCTACTGCGGTGAATCGAGAGGTGAGAATTTTGACTCCAATCCAAAGTCAATTTTGACTATATCTGCCTTGTCTGTTACTTACGACTCCACGTCGTTCAGCAGCGCAGAGAGAGGAATGCACTCAATTGCAGCTCAGGAAGTGTGAGCTCATACCTCATTTTGAGGCACATGACACCCTGCTATTGCTTGCCTCTTACATTTCAAGCAGTGATTGTTCTCCTCCATGAAAACTTCAGTAATGAGACATGTAATGAGACACGGACAAAGTTTAAGTCAATCAACGGAGTCCATCAAGAGTTGGTGAGAATAAGTAAGATTCTCTTTCCCCTCCAGTTTTGTTCCTCGAAATCATCATCCAAAATTGCCAGTTTGATTTCAGTCCATGCAGACCTTCGAAAGGTCAAGACCGTGTGAAATAAATGCCATGACTTTCAACAAGGTGTTCCACTGAAAACGATAGAATATGCGCATCTTTCAGAAGATTGAATGTCGAACAAAGCCACCATACGTTTTGATCATTTGACGTTTTAATTTCTGGTACCAGTGTATTCATACCATTAACTCGACCATGAACTTGTTGTACCCATACGAAGCTCCGAATCAACGCTGAAGCTCATATATTCGCGAGATGGGATCTGTACTTCAAGGCGTATTTCTGTAACCACAGCTTCTCTGAAGTACTGGCTGTAAGTAGATGTTACACCTGGGGCAATTTAATGACCCAACTTTTTAGCAAAGTACAGTAGCTCATAAAAGATGAACAGATACAGTTTCTGTGTACAATAACAAAACACTTAGCACTTGAAGGTCAGTAAATAAACAGATATTTTAATGAGGGTGTTTTTTACTAGGAGATTTTTGCTAAAAGCATTGCTTTTCGTCAAAATTAAATCTGATTGGGGGTTGAGAATAACTCTCATTATGTTTTCAATCTGACAAAAGGGATTCAAACCAAAAGTTTTAAAGCATGGACTTTAATATTACAATATAATAGCTAACAATCGCTAGTCACTTGAGATGTTTATGAAGTTCATGGCAAAGTATCAACGCACTTATATAAAGGATACAGATCATGATAATAATCCAGGCACAGGTTGTATATCACATTTAGCAATAATTGATAGGTGATGAACTTGTTACTAGTTCACAAGCCTTCATAGGTTCCATGCTTTTACGTAATGAACTGTAAGACGCTCACTGTCTCCTTACAGAAATTAAGCTTCATATTTTAGGGTAAAAAATGAATCTAACCTTCAGTTAGATCTATATACAATGACGTTAAAAGCATGGAACCTATGGATGCTTAGAAGCAAGCTAATAGCCTTAGTGACTTAGCTGTGGGATTGCACTTGTAAGCTTTTACAGGTCATGGGTACTAAATAGATGAAGGTAAAGAGTATTTGACTGTAATAAAAAGCTAGTTATAAATAATACTTTCTTGTCAATTTATCAGACTATTAACATTATTCGATTGGAAGAATAATATGTATAAAAATTGTTTTTGATGGTGGATTTATTTCATTTAAGGTGAAGCTTCCTACACTGATATGATCAAATCATTGTTATGAATGCTGAACAAAATTAGTATTAATGTTTCAAAATTTTGATGTCTAAGAAAATTAATTGACTATCTAGTGATACTTACAAAAATTCAAAAACAGAAAAAATTGTGAAATTCAAATAATTTACAATTTAAATTACAATTTAAATTTGAAATTAATAAATCCTTTAAGATTATTGAATATCAATCTATATAGAATTTTATATCATCTTCATATATATAAAAAATATTTTTGATAGAGTATATGCAAAAAACTTCTGCTTCATATTACTGGATCATCAATCCTGAAATCATTGAATTATATAAGTGATATTGCAATTTTTTTGACAGATAGTCCAAGTCAAATTTTTCTCATAATGCAGACTAGCTAGTCTAATTAATAATAATCAAATGTATCCAACTACTATGATAATTTTCAACAATGATTTCATTGATTTATGTCTTGGATATTCGACTAACAATATAACTACACTAATCTAACATAGGCCCGTCAACAAACTAAAATTAGTAAGATCTAGATTGAAAAATAATGATTTTATATCAAATACAGACAAATTAATATTTATTTAACAATAAAATTGGGCTGAGATTTTTATAATATCATGCATATATCTGACGCAAGAAAAATTCATTTTTGATTTCATTGATTATTTTATATTGAAAGTATCAAATAATTTTTCATACAAAGATGATCAATTTACTTCAAAATTAATAATTTAATATTAGTATTGTTTTATTATATGCCTCATTCGCAAATGTGATAAAAAAAAGCATTATATATGTTTCATAAATCATTAACATTCTAAATAGAGTATATTTTTGGCTTCTTAATTCACTGTCTAGCAGAATTATACTTCAACGTATTAGAATTTTCTATTTCTTTGGCAAAAAAATTTCTACAGCCTTGATTTGTATAAAAAAAAATGTATAGGTATGATCAGACATGTTTATATTAGACAATAGACTGAAAAACCTAAATCAACTTAATTTAGTCGCATCGAGTATGGACTGTTTAAGGCAGGGCAAATGACAACATCATATCGTTGACAAGTTGTGGTTAACTCAACATACTCACACAGAACACACAATCTGTCTTTGGTGACTTGGTATTGCAAACATATTACAACAGTTGAGTTGCATGCTTCCAACTGCTGAGAAAAGAGAAGTAAGTGAGGGAAAGTAAGAGAGAAAAAGAGGTGAATGGGGGAAAGCCAACTGAAAAAGGAGTTTTTTCTGGAAGTAATCATCTAGACTTGCTGGTGAATGCTTTGTCAAAGATATAGAATAGATCGTAAACAATTGAACTTGAAGGTAAACATCACCGAAGAATCATCCAAGCAACTCAAGAGAACTTTTTTGTCCTACAATTTTCTTTTTTTGTTAGTAGTCTACGTATTGTTCATATATTACATTAAATTGCAACTGTCCATGTTTCATTTACCTCGTGATCTTGTTTCAGATACACTATTCTAAGACGGATCAAATTGCAAATATTACGTGAAGCCTCCAAAATGTTGCAATTTGTCAACCTAATTTCGCTGCGAGTATCAACACAAAGATTTATGGGATTGATTTAGTTTCATCTGCCTTGAAATCTTTATTAGGTTGCCAAGTCCGCGAGGAAGAAGTACGACGTGTATAAGTCATGTACAAGTTGCTTTGTAGACGCAACATCACATGAAAAATATATGTAATTTAGGCGTCACGGCATAAGATTGCCTACTTTACGCATGGGTATGATTTATCTTACAACTTCTTCGTTTGAACGTTGTCTTTTGTCTTAAAATTAACTTTTGTTTTTTTGAACAACTTTAAAAATCAAATAATTTAAAAATATTATTTTTTTAGAATAAACAGTCTCATATTAAATTCCGAAATTTAACATATGATATGAAACTAGGATGAGTGTTTGTAATCTTTTTATGATCAATTGATAAGTCAAATGAATAATTTAAATTTTATCTATGATGATCATTTATCCATCAAAATGAAACAATTTTTTTCAAAAAAACGGATAAAAAGCATGAAATGTTGTTCATCTTTTGTGTTTATAATAATTTAGTCTAAACACTTTTGAAAGTTAATTTATTTTAATGCATTAAGTGTTATTTCAAATGTTACCTCCAATCTATTTTTCAACTCTAAAGTACTATGATGTCTCTTTGATAACTTTATGTGATAAATATATCACTCAAAATTTTCAAATAAACAAATTACAATGTTCATACTCATTAAATATTGTAAATATGATATTTTAATATTCAAAGCTAATTTGAAACTTTTCAAATTTTTTTTAAACTTAAATTTGTAAGCTTTTTTTTAATCTAAAACTTTTTAAAAGAATCATAAAGATATCATCACAATCATTGCATTAGATAGTGACAAAGTCAGCTTATCAATCAAGCTAATTGTCAATATCTTTATAAAAATCATCTTGTTTGTTGTATATTTTAAAAAATTTATTAGATTGCTAATACAGCCAATCATCTAATAGTGGCATTGAGCAATTTGGAAATATTTTGAATGTGAAATAATTTTAACTAGATTTTATATCTTTAATTTTAAAACTAATTTAGCAAAAAAATAATAGAAAGAAATTTTTTTATCTTACACATAAATGTCATAAATATAATAAAAACATTATATTAAATTATTTTTTATCAAAGCACAATGATTGATTCAAAGATATTGAAAGAAAGGAAAAGAATTTGAGCATTGTGGACAAAATAATGCCACAAATAACTTGATATAAATTTGAGAAAAGAAATTTTAAAGAAAATGTGATTTATTTTTAGATTCACTGAATTAAGTTTACAATCAAAATTTGACGTCTTCTGTACAGATATTTACATTCATTTTTTTTCACCCTTAGTCTAGACTTCACATACCTTTTTCGAAACTAGTACTGAAATTGAGTTAATTTTTTTAAATTGTTTTTTTTCCAAATAGAGTTCGTTTTATACTCTGCAAACTAATCTTGATTTCAAATATGAGATATATGTATTGGATAAAAATTGATTAATAACATAAATATATCATATATTGTTTGTGCCAGTAGCGTAAAAAATTCGATCATAAAACGCTCATTAATTAACATGAACGTTTTATTATCCATCAATCCAAGTATTTTTTGTGATTTTTCTACAAAATTGTTTCATCTTTGCATCATCCAAGCTCATAGAGTTAGATACTTTTTTTTCTTGTTTTCATTTTAAAATTTCATACTGTGACAACTCAAAAAGATCCAAATTCATAAGCCTAGCAAAGTCTTTTCACTTTTAGCTTTTGTTAAAAACAGTGAAGTTTCAAATGAAACAATTAACTCAAAGTGATATCAAATGCAGTTTAAATTTAAATAATTATATTTAATAAGTCAATCAATATCTGAATTCACTAACATTTGATTCAAAACTATTTCAAACTAATCATATTAAATCATTATGAGCTTGACAACTTCAAACATTTTAAATTATTTCTTGCATTTGAAGAGTTCAAAGATTTAACGTTTAAGGTTGTCAGAAAAATATGTGAAAAGAAATATTTCAACAAAAAATCCATTTCAAACTTATTTCTACAATAAGATCTAGTTCAAATGTTTTTTGAATACTCATTTCATATATATGTGCAAAATATCCTTATATTTTAATCACATTCAAAATTATCAAATGTCTCTCTTGTTAAAACAATTCACATTTTTTACTCAATAAAAATTGTTATTTGAATCTCTAAACTTTTTAATTTTTTTTTCAAATAAAGTAAACAATAAGTATAAAAAATTAACATGAAATAGACATGATTCATTCAAGTTATTTTATGTCCATTAAAACACAAGATAATTATAATTAAATCGTAATATTTTATAAATAGCTCTTACAGCTCTTTTGTATAATGAAAATGATTGATAATTGAAATTAGAAAAAAATTTTGGAAAAAATAAGTAATGTAAAAAAATAAACATAATGTTCATGAAAAATCGAGAAATTTTTTTTACTTGAAGTTATCAAAATTTATCATGTTATTATAGTTTCTAAATCTTAAGTATCATATATTTTACATAGTTCACTTTGATCAAAGTAGGAAAAAAAATTTGCTGATCTCTAAGAAAGAACTTTATCAAACAAACTAATTCTTAAAAATATTTTATTATCTTTACTTTAATGAATTGAAATAATAATGGCTTATAATCAAATACTTTTTACATAATATGAACATTAAATTGTTATGTTAAAAAATTTCAGTCAAAATTTGTATGTTTATTATTTTAGTGAATACAATAAAAATCAAGCTTGCTTGTAACATTAAATAATTGAAATTCATATTTTATTTTTATTTGAATTAAAATTTGAAATTATATCTTATTCATTTTATATTTTCATTCTATTAGTATTTATAAATGTGAATATATTGAAAATTTAGAAATTTTTTTCTTGATAGACTCAACAAAGAGTAGATTGAATAGATATATATTTTTTTTCATTTTCGAGCTTATCATAACAAAGTTAATAATTAATGATATGAAAACTTGAAATTATAATTCCATGATTTGAATAAATAATATGTTACATTTTGCACCATCTCATTTTACATATTAATGGCACTTAAAAAATATTTTTTTTCATGTTTAAGTTTGAATTAACTTCATCTTAGTTGTATCAGCTACATAACAGAAATACATTTATGACAATCATCTTGTTTGTTCGATTATTCAAAGTCTATCTTGTGTAGCTTGTTGGACGGACAGAAGATATATCAACTACACAATATAGAACTCTAACAAAGTTATGTCAATCCGGTTGTACATAATTGAATTTTTATACTTATACATATGATAGTGCTGTACCGAGAAATTCACAAAATACAGATGTAAAAAAGCAGCAGCATAAATAAATAAATAACTGGTTCGCCACATCCTGAATGCGTCCACGGAACTAGAAAGTTTCATCATAACCTAAAAAAATATTCAACGAGAGCTATTGCTCATACTTTTACATAAGATGGGTAGTAGAAACCCTAACTAACTGGGATAATCCTAAAGCTAGAGTTAGCTAGATATGAATTATTACTATCAGATACAAATGTCAAATTGCTTTCCTGAACTCCTTAATCAGAAGAGTATGTAGATTGAGTTCTTTTAACCACAACTTTGGCAAATAATCGCACCTAAGAGTTAGAAAAAGAAGGTTAGATCTAGTGATCAATTAGTACCAAACTTGTATCTACTATCAGTTGGACTTATTTTACTTGCTATCGTTTGATATTGAGATCTGTTCGTAAGTCGGTGTAGCGAACATATAATAGGTAGAATTTATGTGCAAATTAATTGTACAAAGTAAACAAAAATTGCAATGATATCACAAAACAGTTCTTTGGCATAGGAAGAGTACTGTAATTCATTCTCTTTAAGACATACGGTGCTAGAAATAAGTTAAAAGTTTTGGATGTTATGGATAAAACTCATAACTCCTTGAAGTATAAACACTCACCGTGGAGATATTCATGAACTATTTAGACTCTTCAGAAGACAAAATCTTTAGCCACATGAGCATCTGCTAGAGAGAAGACTTTTCGGAGCTAGCGTCGGTGCTATCAGTCAGATTTGCACTGAGAGTGAAAGCTTTAAGGTGTTCAACCGCTTATCACACCTAAGGTAATGCCCGACAAAATTTTATAATTCAGACCCATGGCTGGTAGTATTGCTTTTTCTTATTGCCACCAAGTTGATAATGTGGTTTTGCTACACAAGGACCTTGTTGATGGCAATCCAAAAAACTGAAGAATGGGTTTAACTAAAGAAGAATCACATCTTTACTTGGAGAAGACCTATAGACTAACCTTTTATGCCAAGGTTAGAGATGGTGTATCATTTCTACTAATAGTAGTATCACCCAAATACCTGCAAGAGGATTTCCATCGGAAATGGGACCAAGTGGATAATACTAATTGGGATATCAAGTGGAAAGAGTTGTGCAATTGTTGGCGAAACCGATTGTAAAGATATGGTTATTATGATTTTGCTACATTCGTTTCAGGTGCAAGAAGGAGATATATCATGTCTTGAGGGAATGAGAAACATTAAGCACTTATGTAATGGTTTCGATAGGCAGGTGGGGAATTGAATCACTTGTATGTTTTAATTCTCTTTCTTGCTTGCATATTAGCCAAAGCCATAGTTTTAGCTTCTAGTTCCTCTCTATATATTATTCACGTTGGTGAGAAAGTGTTGGTTGGAGATAAGTAATACTCAACATAAGCCCAAATTCAGTTTGATATGGAGGTAAAGCAACAGAGAAGAAGTCAATTGGAAAAGCACGTCCTTGAAAAAACAAAGATGAAACTAAAACTTTTACTTCAAGTTTAGACATCCAACATGAAGTACAGTCGTAAAGGAGTGCCCAAATGGTAACACACGAAGGAGGAGGAAGAGCTGCAGTACTTATTTCGGTAAGAAGTACCACAGAAGCAACGTTTGAAATTGGCGAGGAACTACTGTCTAAATATTGTATTACAGAAGGCACACCAGTTTTCTACAACAACGAGACAAGCTCTTGCTTGAGGTAGTAGTTTTACGAGTTTGTTTTATATCTACCCACCTGAGCTAACTTTTGGTTGTACTCCAATTAACATCAGCACAATGATCCATCAGTCAATGGCAAAAGAAGGAAGGAGAGATTCAGATGTAAAAGAGACAAGAACAAAGCAAAAAGATGATATTCCAAGAGGAGACTCGAAGACTCTGTATCCACAAAAGTACAAACAAAAATGCAAGCCTGAGATGAATTGTTGGAGTATTGTCAAAATAATCGGGAGTAATGTAAGTGGATCTATTCAAAATCAGACCCTAAGATGTCGAGACAAACAAGAAATGATCTTGAAATTCCTTCAACTCCCAAATTTAGACCACTCCAAACTACACGCGATCGTATAACATACCTCTGGAACACCCATTCTTGCTTGCAGCAACATCCATAACGTAAACTCTATGTCCTTTGAGCTCCACCACGCCCACCCCTTGCCGTGCTCCCGTTTCAAAGACATTTCAAGAATTTAGAGTTTTGTTGTTCATTTTACTGCGAAAGATATTCACCTCTAGAAGCTTCTACAGCTTACATGAGGATGTATGTACTCTTCCAACTGCTTGCATGCTCTCACATTTCTTATGTATAATGAAATGTTATTGAAGTAATCATATCAGCCTCTTCTTTAAGATTGTGAAGTAGTGTAGGACGTAGTATGACTTTAATCTCCACCTGCTTATGTGGCGGGGCAGAAATACAATACCTCTGGACTTGTGCAATTCTTTTAGATCTTTCAATTAATAAGCATGCTGCTTGCCTGCAAATGTAATTGATCAAACAACATTCAACACGAGAAAACAAATCATTCCCATAATTGTCAAAACACATTTTCATGCTAAAGATGTAGTGACTTACATCTAAGGCTAGCTGTAAAAAACTGGGGTATCTCAACTATTGCACCAGAAAACATGGCGAGGAAAACATCTGCTGTTTATTTAAGCCAAAAAGAAAGTTGGAAGAATTTTGCCGGAGTTCAAAAGGGACACTTATTAGAGTAGTGATCGTAATATTACTCTAAGTAATGTCTCCCTCATAGGATTCTACCAGCCCATTCTGAAAGGCCTTATTTCAAATCACGTAAAGGCGGGTTCAATTTAATGAAGAAGAAAGCTCAAAGGTGCTCATGCGCGTGTATTAGAATCCTTTCTTCTTTCCCGATCTGGAGCTCCAAGACTCGCCATACTAAGTTCGTTCAACTTCATGTTTATGTCCAGAATAACCACAAAACAGAAACAATCAAAGATAAATATAGCAAGGAGTATATGAAGTTTCTGTTTTATGTTACGTCGGAAACTTGGCTGAGGTAACTCTTGTTCTTTTGTTTTACGTTTAATTGAAAATGACTAATCCATATAGATCCTCCTTCTTGATGCTATATGCGACGGTTCAAATGCCTTGAACATTTTTAGCGTTTGAGTGGAGGCTCGGGGATAGCACTGAAGTTGTACATCAATATCGATTGTCCATCTAGTGTGCTCTACAAGTTGTCTTGAATATATCACTTCTTAGGATAGTTGTATTAGTCCAATAGTATGGGTATTAGATAAATGTGGCAGAGGACTCTCTGCAACAGTTACAAGAAATAGTGTAAACCATTGTATGAGTTAGAAATACCTTAATCTGAATCGACATTTTGATTTTTTATGATACGAGGGATTCTTTTACTGAAAATGGTATCAATACTTGTGTCTCATAGAGTTCTTTCATTCAATGAAAATATTTACTTTGCTGAAGAACAAAAAACCTGTATTAGCTAGCTTGATGTGCCCATATTAGTTTGAAATGTCCATAAATTATCCTAGCGATAAGTGTGACTTCCCGGGAAAAGTTTTGAAGTTAAATTATTATTTTTAATCTGTAGAATGCCGAATAAAATAAATATTGTATATAGATAAACCTCAATAGTTTACAGTCAATTTACTGGAATGGATTGCATTATGTATCCCATCAAAAGTTCTCCCCTAGCCAGCATAAGGTGGTTATGGGAATGCTATAAAGTGTAAAGCTAGTGGGTTAATACCTACTGATATACAGCCTTTTCTTTCTAAGGCAAAGGAGGCTGCATTTATACTGGTTATAAAGAACTGGTGTAAACTTCTCCAAGAATGCAGAAAGTTCAGTTGATTGGTACGAGATCAAGATTAATGTAAATGTAGTTTGCTGTGTAAATCTTGTACGCTCTTAGTGAGAGATCTAGACTATTGCATCACTCTGAAGTACATGGTTCTCAGTACGTTGTGTCCTCTCCATGCTCGCAATCAAGAGTTTTCTGAGGTACAGTCTGGGTTCACCTGATCTGTTACCTCTTCTGGAGATTTGTGTCCTTCATGCCTTCTATTGCTAGCAATCGATTTGATAAACTCAGGATGTATATGTCATTCGGTCCTTGGAATCAAAGTGAAGAGTTTGTTGACTGTAGATGTCTGAAGTAAGTAATAGACTGCAAGGTATGACCATTCTTAGTGGACATTCAGTTTCAGTCCAATTAACAGGTACATCTATAAATTCGACAACCTAATATTCCCTCGTCCTTTCTTAGAATTCAACTCCTTCGAACATGAAAATAAAGCCCGGTAAATATTCATAACATCACCCACCTGCTTCATGAGGAGACCAGTACACAGACAGAACAATATCGTTTTCCATCGACGTAAGCCTCTCCGCCCAAGTTTGCTCGTCATATAAGAGGAGAGTGGAACCTTCGTGTCTGTTGAAAGACGAGAATAGAAACATAATCATAAAGAGTTCCAAAGCTTAATGAGTTTCATCTTTTTGTTGGACTTAGGATGGGTGGTACACTCTCAATTATTTTTCCCTTTGCAATTTTAGCACCTACATATAGTTCCTGACCTTCACATACTCGTCATGTGCCTTGCCCACAATTTAAATTTACATAAGCATTAATTAATCGTCCTACGCGTATGTTGTAGACATTGTTTGTGCTCCATACACATACTTATACCCTTTCTGATGACATGAAAGCCAGAGCTTGGTAAGTAAATGTATGATCAACGTCCCACTATATCACAAAGTCTCGTTCGACATGCACATAAATATTTCCACTAGAATGGCGTACTTAGCTGGTCATGTACATCCGTGATTCTCGCTTCACAAACGGAGTCAGTACTACTGACTGTGCGCATGATGATGTTCGAACATTACAGACACCTTGCGCACATGGATGAAATGTGCGGTACAGTAGCGCACTCAACATGTCAGTTACTATACTTCCAACCTCTGCTTACTCTACATTTACAGTATTAATCTGGAACTTGGAATGTTTTGGAACCCAACATTTCTTACGCACAAGGATATTCAGAACTTCGTCATCGGCATGTACCGTATGTCTTGAGCATAGAATGTCTCAGCTAGTAACAGCGGGAGTGGATCAGCATCTTGGGTTGTTACCTTCGAGTGCGCAATGTAATTTGCAATGTTCCCTCAGTTCAAGGTAGTGAGGAGAATCAATTGATGGGGAGTTATTGTGGTAGCTTCGGGAAGAGATGGAAGTTGCAGTTGAATTGTTGTAAGCCGATTTGGCGAAAAAGGATCCACAACTGCAAGATGTGGATCAGCAGGATCGCTGTTAAACGGTTAGTGTTCAGAAGAGGGAACAACGGTACCAGTTGGGCCGATAAGGACATGAGAGCATCGAGGAATCCGACACTGACCCGAAAAAGGCAAACAGATGTAATTACAGGTACGACACGCTACCAATTATGCTCAGTGATCATGACCACTCATCCTTTTGACTACCTGAAAGGCTGATCAAGATGGATGGTCTTACTCCCTCTATTTCTGGTTGCGTTCAAATTCCTCCTATACTCTGCTCCAAACAACAACTTCCTGATGAGTCCTTTCTTCTTCTCCTCCTCCTCCTTCTCCTTCTTCAGTTACCCCTCCCCCCACCTAGGCCACAGTACTACTTTGTACCATTCTGTTTCGGTATCCGTTAGGATGTAGATCTAGACTTTCATCATCGACAGGACGAAGGTGATGTGAGGAATCCATAGGGAATGCCTCAGCCGGCCTCTGCCATTGCATCACAACCTTCGCGCTTATGCACTGCACTGTGCGGTGATCAAAAGGCAGAAATGGACGGACTGAAGCAGAGGTCTTCGACCCACGTCTGCTCGAGTAGGCCCGAGAAACCAAGCTCGCAGCAGCAGCAGCGCAGAACTCAGACATAAAGATGGGAATGACCCACACCGTGCGATACAAGGGCGATACCATAACTGAGTCCTGGATCTGTACACAGTCTGACCAACAAAAGGTACCGTAATGCAGGGGTTTATGACCACTCACAGAAGCACGTATCTTTTGGAGCGATCCCAGGCATGGACGAGTGACCACTTCAACGGATTGCGGATTCGGCCGCCTAGGCTGGTGAGAAAAGGCCTGCCCCTGCCGCCCGCAGGTTGGTCTGGATTTCACGAACCGGCTGTGTGCGAATGGTGTGAACGATCGTCCTCTTGGCCAAGCAAAGCCAGTACGTACCTGAAGAATTGTAGGTACGCATGATCTCGGCCTCCAGTATGCTCTTTGGCTGTTTGCCCCCGTAGGTTGTCGTGCTCCCTAGCATCATCTACTCGCCCTAATGTAGCCGCCTCTCCTCGCCATTCTTCCTCTTCTCTGCTCTCTCTGCTCTTTCGGTCGACAAGTCCGACTAACGCGGATCGTGTTTCTCGGCAAATAGAATGTTCGTATCACACGACAAATGGTGCTCGATACGACAAAGTTCCAGGGCCCTGCTGCTGCTGCTGCTGCTGCTGCTCATAACTGGATGACGACGAGGTCGACGGCATCGAGCGCGCGAGCGGCGATGATGAATTGCGGCGGTCCCCCACGCCATCGCTACCCCTACCCTACCCTGCCCCCCCAATATCCCCAACGTAACGCTCCCCAAGTGCCCGTGGTCAAAATTGGACGTCCACGTTTACAGCGGAGCGTGAATTCTTACCCGACCGTAGCTGTGCAATAACCTTGGTTATCGATCAGGAGTTGGAACTCTTAAGCTGTATGAGTCGTATAGGTTTATAGATCATGCAGGACTTATCTATATCTGCATGATGTATCAAAAGAGCTCGGCACCGACCCCCCTCGAATCACTATATGTTAATAATGATGTACAAAACAAAAAAAGGTTCCTGAGAATCATCGTTTCGAATCTGTAGGAAGATAATATTAATGATAAGCTTCTCTCTTGACTTCAAAAAATAATACAAGATATGGAGTTGCATTTTGCTTTGGTTCAAATAACGTTTTTCGGCATGATATCACTGAATGGACTGGCAATTCCAGCTCTTGGTTATCTTGCAAGTTCACTGGCACTTAAACCTACGCCTTCGTCTGGGTTAGTCAATTTTGCTTTCATGACACTACATTTAGACTCAGAAAATGAGTTTTTACACATAAATTTAGACCTGAGTGCCACTTGATTGCGTCTTGGAAATAGCATTCAACCATTTTCTCTCATGCTTGTGAAGCACGTCGATTATTTGTCTTGTCTGAACTTGGAGAACCGCATGTTATATTTGATTACGTTTCACCATTCTTTGTCAGAAATACCACGTTACCTTCGAAAGATAATGAAGTGTCTCACAGTCCAAACATGAGTAGACAAAGAGAGGCATCTTCCAAAGATTGCCTGAATCATCGAGCTCGAATGATTACCTGAATGTACAAACTGATGTATAGGCGCTCATAAAGACTTGGAGAATGGGATCAGACATCTCAGAAGAGGTGTTTTCGAATCTCTTCTTAGTAACTTCTCTTGATAATTATGTTGTTAAGAATCCTTTTGCATTTATTAAGTGCATTTGAGTTTTCTTTCAACTGTTTGATTGTGTTATATAATCCCGTGGGAAAAATAATAAAATCTTTGATGGTATGTCTTATTGCGGCTTAGTACGTTGCGAGTCAGACGCGGACTTATGCAAAGTCGAATAGAAACTCATGGAGAGCTCAGAGGATTTACGACTGCGATACTGTCGACTGAATCGAATGACTCACTCGTCAAACCAGCTTTGCAGGCCCGGGTTAAGGTGTCGACGTTAATCATGGTTGACGTTTGTTGACAGAGAGGATTATAATCGCGTCCACGACTATTACAGCTTAACATCCCCACAGAGTACGGACACACAGTTCTTCTTTTGCATCCTTCCCTGACCAGCTTGAGCTTCATGGTCCGAAGATCATGTGATAGAATATTATCATTGTTTTCTCTTTGTGGAAACTGATGAAGGATCTCGGAGATTGGCTAAAATTCATTGCAATGTAATTAAACGTTTGTTTCTGGTTCCGTATCTTCTCGTTCCACGTACAGACTCAGTATTTCGTCTGTAAATTTGATAATACAACGTATGATGTTGTTTTACAGACTACCATACAGACTCCTTTGCTTTTCAGATGTGGGTCACCAATCCTGCTACTCAACACTGAGCGAGGAAAACATCAACGCTATTGACTAGTGGAAATACGAGATGGGCAACGTCAGACGGAAGCATCCGACCACGAATCTCATGATTCAAATGTCAACCAACAAGAACTTATCGTTTTGCGTCCAGGGGAGGAATAGCAATTACTAATTTTGGCCACTTCTTGGATTATAGTTATTTTTCAACGGGATGACGCTGCCAACTATATTACTATAAATATGAGTTTTGATTTATCGTGGTACCCCAGTATTCATCTTTCTTATTTTCTTAATCTATCTTTTTGCCTAGACTCGTTGACTATTTGTTGGAAGAGGAAACAATTTTCCATGATGCAAATAATAATGTTTGCAATTGCACGAGAGCGTGAGCACCTCATGCGGTCGACTCGTGTTACGAGAGAAGTACATTTGGTTTGGTTTTGGAGTATCAGGACCATGTTGCACAAGCTATGATGGCATATTTTGAATATAGAGTTTTGATTGGGATAATAGCATATCTAGCAGTTTGGGTCACAAATGGAGGGACATCAACCAAAAATCTATGTAGATGTAATCGCAGATTTGGATTTAGAGTAAAATATGCACTTCAATTTTGACACATTGTTTAGAAAAATAATGGCAGAAAAGAAATCTTACTAAAAGAAATGGCAGAAATTCTTCATCACATTGTGCAGGTTATTGTAAAATACTTGTATCCAATAACCTTACAAAGAACATATGCTCTCTTCAAATTTATTGTGCATTTTCAATCTAAGACAAAGTTCTCAAAATAGGCGACACCTGTCTCACATGCTATCCGCGTGATAAGTTAAGCACAATATAATATTTACAGTGATAATATTGAGACCAAGACCTATCGAAAAGCGATAGATTTGATCCTTGCATGGTTTGGAAATATTCCCATCGGTTTTGCAACATTACTGGGTTCTGTGAGTAATGAGAGGAAGGCCAAGGAGGTACTGCACTGGAGTGGGCAGCAAGCGCCATAGGCCGAATGACTGTAGTGAGAGGAAGCAGGGCAATAGTGAAGACAAAGGAGGGAAGGATTGAAGGAAGGAGAGAGAGAGAGAGAGAGAGAGAGAGATCGAGCATGGGGAGCATGTGTCATTGACCGAACAGCAGCAGCAGCAAGTTCAGTTCAGAGCCGAGGGTCTTTGAGAGGGCTGGGGGCTCGTCGTCGGGGCTGGCCCGCCTCTGCCTCTGCTGCTGCTGGTGGTGTCGTGTCGGGCCTACTGCACGCAAAGCCCGCTGCGTGATATATAGTGAGACGGTCAACCACCAATCCAAGGCCCTTTCTTGCAGCAGCAGCAGAAGAGCAAGCGCAGCAGCAGCCTCGCAGGGCTCAGGGCAGAGTGGCAGGCAGGCAGAGCAGAGCAGGCGGTAGCCTTAGCGGTCGGCAACAGTGACGCACACAGTATCGAGTCGACCCTCTAGCTCCCGAGTCGCGTCCCCTGCCTCCTCCTCTTTTTCTAGACCCGTGCCTCTACGTCACCGTATTGTCGATCGAGCCATCACCTGCAGCGTAGACTCGGCGTCTGTCTGTCTCTGCATGTCCTTCCCACGAGCTCCAGCGTATGGGCCATTCGGTATCCAGATCCAGGCACGAGGAAAAGTGGCCCGGTATATTCAGACGCTCTCAAAGCTCGAGTACTTCTGCTCTCTCTCTCTCTCTCTCTCTCTCTCTTTCGGCAGTTCAGGATTCGAAGTGTAGTTGTGGAATCCTTTCAAACAAACATATTTGGTCTGTGTGTAACATCATTATTTCACACCCCTGATTTTCCTATCCTGCATAGCGTAAGATTCACAATTGCTTTCGAGGTCACGCCACTCTCATGCATCCCTGATATGTGGCGTCATCATACACTGGATCAAGCTATGGAAAACGAAAATGCACAAAGTGAACTTGAGAGTGTTGTTACCAATCGAAGAGGTAATGAAAAATAATGATGGCTACTTTTTTGAAATCAACAACTCTGAAATAAAATAAACTGTATGGACACACACACACACCACAACGAGATGATGTATTCAAAATAATGTTTGTTCGATAGAAGGTGGTTTCTGAAGGTTTCTGATATCAAAGCAAAGACAATGATGGAAAATTTTGTAAAGCAGATCCCACGAGATTCAATGAATCCCACCATAACAAAAAAAGAGACTTAATGGTGGTTTACGTGACATCCTCGGTGAAGCCTGAAGTTGTTTACTCCTGCTTAAGTGAAATAGTACCAATCTTTCAACACATTTGACTTATTTATGCTACGGATTGTCACCGTATGAAATTAAGTTCATACTGTCTGTGATACGGTATGGTATAAATTACACACAATTGAGATAATCCGGGGGAATTGTGATTGTATGGAGAGTTTATGTTCAAGTAGATTATGGTTCGATTAAGAAAGGCAGTGAGCCGCTTGGACTGAACTTAGAAGGACCCATAGAGCTCAGTTGGTTGTCTCCAACTTTCGTTTAACTTTCGATAGAAGGGGCAATCGTGTTCAATCCCTTGTAAATTTATTAGTTGCGGTCTGTCTCTCGAGAGCTCAGACACTATTGTCTTCCCGGAGGATCCTGACGAACTGGGCTATTCAACCATCGACAAATCATCTGGGCCTTACTCATGCATGTATTTTCTATGTTTTCTCGGGGTAACGTGGCACACCTCATGAGCATTCTCGTCCACGCTTTTCATGACGGCATGCTCTGATCCAAAGATGTTATTTGTGTCACGGTCCATTTATGACCTTTCGCGGGCACTTTAGACCCAAAGATTGCAACTTCGCAGTCAGTCAGTAAAGCGATCGCAGAACGAAAAGGCGGAGCCACTTGTTCTCAGGCCAGGGTCCAGCTGCCGCTCAGGACCGAAGCCAGGTCGAGGGAAATGCCCCGGGCCGCTCGGATTTCCTCCTGATTTCCAAAAATCACACAATTGCAGATTGGTCGGACGTATCAAGAATAGTCGCAACACTGGTTTCCAAATATTCGTGGATGAGGCAGCCTCCATTCTCTCTCGCTCCCTCACTCGGTCGAGAGTTTTCTCGGTTCTCCTCATCGCTCCTCCTGTAGGATCTGGCCGAAGACAGTCCATGTCTACGGTATTTGCGGCCTGGATGGTCGGCAGGAGGAACTCGCTCGAGGAAACGAGTTGAAGTGTCGTCCTGCAGAAGTGAGTTCAGAACGCGCCCTCCCCCTTTGGAATTGAATGGAACGTCTCGAGAACGACAAGTCGTCCTCGAGACGGTCTATTTAATTCCAAGGGGGGTTGCTGCACGCCCTGCGAGGGTCACAAAAAGAAAGCTCGCTTGACAACTCCATGAATCTAATTCCTAGATCCTCGGACCTTTCGATGCATAATCACGGTCCTG